AGGCCAAACTCTGCTGGACGCCTGCACAAAAATTGGTTCTATAAAACATCACAGACTATTTCTCCACCAGCCTGCGTGTCGGTCAAATCCAAGGCTGGCTTAGAGTATAATTAACCCGTATTAGATAGGGATATACTTGACTTTATTACCTTTAAAAAATTATAATTAAAAAACTGAAAATGGTATTTAAATTAGAATTTCACCATCGTATTCAGCGCAAATTTATCTTTAAGAATAAATTACTTCTATTTGTGGTAGAGTTTGGCCTCCTTATCTCTAGTCTTCATGTTTTAATTTTAGTAAAYTTCAGTTCTTGACTTTCAATATAACAACTTCACACATATTCTACAATATAAAATATGTTGAGAGGATGTTACTACAGCCATGACACATTTTGTCTTTTATCTTACAAATAGACAATATAGTAATTTTGTATTCAGTAATTTTAAACTTAAATTTTGTGAAATTACTTGTTGGCTATAATATTAAAATGAATTGACCTACTTTCAAACTTAGAAGTAAAATAAATGGTTTTGGACAATATCTAAATTTTGAAAGGAGCAATGGGCATTTTTAAATATTAATATTTTCTAAAGATACTRATAGCTTAGTTAAAAATTTTAATTTGGTAAAAACCCAAAGATAGAACAGATTATGTTTGACTTAAGTTTAATAATAAAAGTCAACTCAATCTAATATTTAAGCTACAAAGTAAAATTTTTGTAAAACTAAAAAAGGGTTTGGTAAAAATTGTATCTAAGAGACACRACAACATAAAATGGGTGTATTGTAGGTGCGAACTCACAAAATCTTCATAAACAATAACCCTGGCCTAGTTTAGCATTAAACAAACAGGTTTGTGGTGATTTGCCACCTGCCAATACAAAGTAATTGGTAATTTTAGGAAAGATGCAAACAAAAACTGGACTCCTACAGGTATATCAAATAAATTTGTGGTATCACCTGTAACACATCCCACCGGTAGGCGGAATCACCAAATGTCAGTTTGATGCAGACTATAATATATTGTTGATAAAGAATAGTTATTCTATTAGTACTCCCAACGGCTTCACAGTTGTTGTTAGAAAATGATAAATTTTAAATTTTAGRAATGTAATGGACACAAAATAGTATCATGTCTAGAATTTGATTTTAATGTTAAAAAATATAAATATGAATGACCATATATCAGAAAGTGAGGCATTAAATTAAGGAATACAAATCTATACATGTTACATTGCTTAGACTCACGAGCTATTAGTGGTTAGGTTTGTCATATAGTAATCGGCTGATACTCGATAAATTTTAAAATGTACTATGTATTGTATATAAAATAATCAYAATGTTAAAACCACAATTGTTTTTGAAGTTAAAAGCGCACGTTWTTATATCAAGCAATTTGTTCAATATAACTTATACTCTATCCAGAATAAGAATGCACCGCTTTGGCRTATCCAAATGAAACACAGAATGACATCCAGACTCCTTAGCTGAGTATACTCACTCTATGATTGGTCACCAATTTTAGGTTGTARAAGACGGCACGTTTGCCGTCAAGTATACAGGGCCTGTGGTGGGGATGCATGTGAAGTTTTGACCGGTTTACGTCTGCGGCATTGTTATTCTGGATAGAGTTACAGGTATAAAATACTATAATAAAATTATTAATCTTACTTCTCTTCAAATTTAACTCTGGTCTGGAAACGGTATTTCTTTTTAATCATAGGATCTTTTAAATCTTTAGGTGAAACCTTGTCTACTGTTACATCTTGTACAGAGTATCTAGTTGGCATAAGGTGGTTGTAATTGAGCACCTGAAAAAATAATATGGAAATTAATACAAATAGTAAACATTTAAACACATTATATATATACCTAATACTAATAAATAATAAGTAACCACAAAACCTATTATTGTCTAAATTAAAACAATAATGCTTAAAATATGAGTCTGATCCATGGTTAAAATTTCGCTTTACATTTAAAAGCTACAATTTACAAATGTTAATATTTAATAATACTCAACCAAAATTATAAACAAATTTAAATTACAAAAAAAAAATGGATTCTTATAAATTGTTAGCACTAGTTCAAAAATGTAACTGTTGTAAACCATAATAATAGATGGATAGTAAATAAACAATAATTAATTTGAAAAATGTCCATAGGTACCAGGTAGCAGTTTTATTAWATTAATCATAATACTGCTAGGAAGTTAAGAAGAGTGACAGTGTGCTGTTTATGTTAAATTGAAAGGAATGATACATTAAATAAAAATAAAATTTGTAATTTGAGAAGATTCTTACACTTAAGAAGATGTCACATAACTCATAATCACAAGGTGATTTCTGCTCTTTACAAATTAAAACATTTTAGGTACATATCCAGCAGAACTAATTTTATGTTATGCATTCTAATTTAAACTGTGTACCTAGTTTAATAGGATACATTTATCAGAATATTTCAAATCTCTTATCATATGTTACAAGGTAACAAATTTGAATAGGATGACAGCAAAGCAACAAATGCATCCTGGCATAGGTATGGGCTGTAGAGTGAACTYTTAACTCAAAGGTAAGATCAATTTCTATGTTTGTACATGCTTTATTGTGTAAGAAATGACAAATGAGAATGTATAAAATAAAGTAATGTTTAAATGTAAYTTGCTCAAAAACTTAAATATCATAAAAAAACTGACATACAGACACAGAAGTTGTTTACCTATAAGTTTGGCAACAGATAAATGTTAACGTAAAAGCYAAYATAGCACAAATATCGGTTCAGCTGGATGTAAATTAGTTTTATCGTAAGTTAGAGTAACAGAAAAAACACGTAATATGGATACAACGTACTCAAGTGTAGTGTCATCTTACAAATTMAATTTATATAGAAATTAATCTCGTTAAAACTGAAGCTTAAAGCTTAAAAATAAAATAATTAAATCATACATATGAGTGAGATGTAACGGTATAATAATGTGTCAAACAAAACTTAGTCTTACTTTCAGGAAAGGTTTGATTTTAGATCGTTTTTTTAATTTTTCCTGTGACATACGTTTGGTTACCTTCCGAGGGTAACGATCTATACCAGCAACCAGCGCATGACCATATTGTCTTTCTGCTGTACCTTCATCATAGGTCTTCATAATGACAGCTTTTCGGCCTGCGTATCTACCAGATAACACCAGCACGATTTTACCAGATTTCATAATTTTACCCATTGTGCCGCTTTTGCTGTAATCACATAATACAATTCATAATAATGGAACATTAATATTATAGCAATATGTCGAACGCGACGCACATAATWTGTGCACAGGGACAACGTCGTGAATGAAATGTGCGAGAATTCTATAGGAAAATCTCCTCCGTAAACGCCACTGGGGAAATATTTCTATAATTGCAAATAGTKAACTCTATCGCTGAGAAAATATTGTCTTTGGTACTCAGGCATTTATTTCGTGGCACGTTTACGTCTGAAAACCGACAGACGAYCGTCGACTACGATGGATCCGTCTTTCGTGGATTTCGTTCACGACACGCCTTGACTGTGGCACAATTGATACGAACGCGTACGCAAAGGCAACGCATTTGCTATMCAATAATTAAAATAATTCGAAATTACTTACCACAGGACTACAAGATTGTTACACGAGGGCAGGCTAAGAACGCCAAAAGAGAGAACTATTTGTTTTCAACAAGATTTTAAGGTTACGAGCGAAACACCAGTTTCAGTGTTTCACCGACTCGTGAGTCGTGACAGTCGCGAGTCACAGACTACGCCAGGTGCACCTGGAAGAAACAACGAACGCAGGCTGACAATCATATGGTGTTCGAGCATTTGGTTTGCTAGTCCATGACAGTGCTGAGTGCCCGCTCAGCGCCAATGTTTGATTTTCATCTTTCATGTTGTAAAATTAATACAAACGTAAAATTAATACAAAATACGAATAATCAATTTAATACTAATTTATTCTCAACGCCAAAGCCAATACGCCATCGACCGGTGTCAATATATTATCAATTATTATACCGTAAATGTATTTTTTTTACAGTCATTTATTTGGTCATCTGTGACATGCGTTGAAATTTGTAAATATTTACCGTTTTATGCGATATAAGTAAGGTGTGTAAAGGTATATACCATTTATCAAAATGTCAATATTAATCATAATATAGGCAATTCAGACTTTGATACGTTACACAAAGAATGTACTTACTGTCAAGTGCATTTTCAAATTTTTATCCCAATTTAAGATTTCCTTAAACATAGTTAATATATTTGCAAATTGCAATTGCCTCTCCTCCCATTACCCCTTAGACAATATAGGCTTAGTGGTCGAAGTGAGGATATTATGGGAAACGAGAATTCGACAACTTTTTATAATTTATATTTTCCATCCTTCCGTAATATTTTGATCACTTAATTACAATAAGCAATACGACAATACTAATACCAGGCAATAAACTTACTTACCTACTTTACAAGTTTTATTTTTAAGGGTTATGATTTTTTTTTT